TATTTTCTTGCGGAACCAGGGATTGAACTCAGGCCCTTGAGCTTGCCAGGGAAGCGCTTATTCCACTGAGCCATCTCCCTGGCCCCAAATTTTTATTTAAAAAATTAGGTTATTTTAAGCAACTAAGCTTTCATTAAAAAAAAAAAAAAAAAGCATCTTGCTTAATGGATTATATAAAAATTCTTATTATTCATCTATCTTTTCAACTAATCTTTACACAAAAATTCACTGCTCACAAAAAGATTTTTTAAATAAAGTTTTCTTCATAATTAACTATAACCATTAAGAATAACTTTATATCTTGCTTTGGTTTTTGTTTTGTCTTTGTGATACTAATGACTGAACCCAGGACCTTGACACTGAGCTATATCCATAATCTTTTCTTTTTAATTGAGATAAGGTCTCCCTTAATTGCTAGATCGTTGGGGTTTGGACTCAAATTTTTTTGTGGGAGGGGCTCAAATTTGTAATACTCCTGCCTCAGCCTCTCAGACACAGCACAGGGATTGTAGGCATGCACCACTGCACACAGTAATATCTTACTTTTTTTTTCTTTTTTTCTTTGGAACCGGGGATTAAACTCATGCCCTTGAAAGCACTTATCCTACTGAGCATCTCCCCTGCCCCAAACATCTTACATTTTTGATGCCTGGTTAAAAAGCAAAGTCATGCCCATATTGACCAGAGGAGTGAAGCAGAAGGCTAAAAGGTTACTTCACAGCCAACGTTTATTAGTAAAGATTAGTAAGTGCATTTGTGTTACTTATGCTTAAATGATCAAGTATGCTTAAAATGGACAGTGAGAGACAGCCAGGTATAAAGGCATAAGCCTGAGATGCCAGCACTTAGGAGGCTGAGGCAGGAGGATCACTAAGCTCAAGGCCAGCCTGAACTACACAACAAGACTGCCAAAAAAAAAAAAAAAAAAAAAAAAAGACTAGAAGAAAATGTGAAAGCAGCAGCAGTCAGCTGGGCTGGATTCCAGCTGTCTGGAAGGCTGAGGCCGGGGAATCACCTGAATCCCAAAGTTCAGGCAGATGATGGGAACAAGCATCTCCTTAATGATAAACTACAGGTGATGATTTTCAGTTTATTTCTGCAGTAGTTCAATTTTTCCATGGAACATATATTGATTCTGTTATAAAAACAAATTTAGCAATAAGCAAGAACTAAAACTAACTGGGATTAGGAGACAAAGCTTATCTAAACACAATATTATGACTTTGAAGTAATACTTTAGATGACTGTATATTTTGAATGACTTTTTCGTATCTAACCTTCAGATGATCAATAATTAGCATACTTTAAACCAAAAAAAGTATGTATATGTATATAGATATATATCTATATATCTATATATCTATATAGATATATAGATATATAATTTTATTTTTATTTATTTTTTGAGGAACCAGGGATTAAACTCAGGCCCTTGCTCCTGCCAGGCAAGTGCTTATTCTACTAAGCCATCTCCCTGGCCCTAAGATTCTATACAGGTGCTTTCTTTTGTTGTTAAGACAGTGTCACACTGTGAAGTACAGGCTGCCCTTGAAGTCATTATGTAGCCCAGGCTAGTCTCAAATTTACAATGATCCTCCTGCCTCAGCTTCCTGATCCTAGGATTATAGGCATGTGTACCACCACATCTGGCCATAGTTGGTTCTTCATTATACTTCAATACTAATTAAAACTTCAATTTGTCTCAGTTTGTATTTCTAAATTAGCTATTATATATTCAATATTATATTCAACAACAAAACATGGTTTCTGACTTCAAAGTACATATAGACTCACCAAGTATATGTAAGAATTGGTGCAACCAAAGACCATAAAAGAGTGATTAATGTAGGCCAAATGTAGCTGTGGAAAAGCTTCAAATAGTTTTGCCTTGAAGAATAGATAACATGTAAGCACATTATAGATATAGGAAACCCTTAACCTTGGAAGCAAATACAGCACTGTCCAAGTGACAGGAATTAGCAAAGAGCTGGAGGGCCAGCAAGACAGCTCAGCAGATTAAGCACCTGCTTAGGTTCCCCTGCACCACATGCCACAGCAGCCCTACCTCCTCCAACCCCCACCCTCACTGAGCAGGCCACTGAGACTGGGCGTGGTAGTACAAGCCTATAATCCCAGCACTGGGGAGGCTGAAAACAGAAGGATCACTGTAAGTCCGAGCTGCGCAGCAAGACCCTGTACCAAATACATACATACATACATACATACATACATAAGTGACATAAAGAAAGAAAACTCACCTCTAAAAATCCAGTTAAAAAAAAAAAGCACTTCTACCGCAGCAACCATTGACAAACAGCAGCTATGGCCCTCCACTATCCCATGGCCAAGGGCCACAAGGTGACTAAGAATGTGAGTAAACTGAGGCACAGCTGCCGTCATGGACGCCTCACCAAACACACCAAGTTTGTGTGGGATATGATCCGGGAGATGTGCGGCTTCAACTCCTATGAGCAGTGCCATGGAGCTGCTCAAGGTCTCTAAGGACAAACAAGCCCTCAAGTTCATTCAAAAAGGGCAGGGACGCACATCCAGGCCAAGAGGAAGCGTGAGGAGCAGAGCAACGTGCTGGCCGCCATGAGGAAGGCAGCTACCAAGAAGGACTGAGCCCCTTGGGAATAAAGCTTTGTTTAAAAAAAAAAAAAAAAAGCATTTGGGGCTCTTCCTGCCTCAGGTGATATTCCTATTCCTCATTCCCCATTACTATTTCCCAGTAAATTTTCCTACTCTTAAAAAAATACCTTAAGGGGCTGGGGAGATGGCTCAGTAGAATAAGTGCTTCCCTGGAAGCACAAGGGCCTGAGTTCAATCTCTGGTTCTGGAAAAAAAAAAAAAAAAATTTAGTAGAACAAAAACTGTGGACACAACACAGGACAACTTAAGAGGACAAGGAAATATAGGACAGGGAGATAGCTCAGTAGAATGAGCACTTGCCTAGCAAGCACAAGGCCCTAGTTCAATCCCTGGTTCCACCAAAAAAAAAAAAAAAGACAAAAGAAAAAACAATAGAGATGTAAACAAGCTGAACAAATAAATGTTGTACTTTAAAATATAAAATGCTTGCCCATATTTGAAGACACATAAGAGGTACCAATAAAATCAAGAGAACATTTATATGTCATAAGCACCATGACTTATTTATACAATTCTCAAAAATCTTGACTTTATATTTTATGAGAATAGAACAATGACAAGCTTATATCCCACTAAATGATAAGAGAAATCTGAAACCAGAACTAACTATATCCCAAGTCAACATTCTTTCCTTTTCTACTAAAGAAAGCTACCTATATGATTTTTAGAAGGAAAACAAAATTAAGCTCAAAGAATTGCCCAGAATTATCTATCATATCAGGTGCCTATTCCTTGGCTCTCCTAAGATTAATTCTTTTTTTTTAAACATTTATTTATTTATTGTGTGTGGCCAGCTCAGCCCACCAGGGGGCGGGGCTGGCTGGCATGTGGTGCTGGGGGATCAAACCGCGGTCCCTGTGCTTTGCCAAGCTTGTTCCAAGTAGGTGCTTTAGACCACTGAGCCATCTCACCAGCCCCCTAAGATCAATTCTTCAGTTTCTTGTTCTCTACCACAGACATGTACAGAATTTAAGATCTCGTCCCATAGGCAAATTTCCAAGTGGCTTTCTTGAAAAGCCACTTAGCTTCATGGCTTCAAATGAGAAAGATTTCTAAATCAATCTCTTCCTGAGCCCAAGCTCTGGCTGTGCTACACGTCACCTATTGCCTCCACCTTCTGTATCTGTTATCTCCCAGGAAACTCAAGTCATCAGCAGGGCTCACCAGGCCTCAGCCAGGGATTACATGGAAGGATAAAACAAAAAGTGAAGTGAGGAAACATTCCCTGGCTCTGTTTCTGTGGCACTGCACTCCCAACAACCATGTCCTTTGACCAAGGTTCCAGATTCTCCAGGGTGAATCTCTAGAACTGCTTTTTATGTATTCTGGTAACCTCTCCTTCTCCTTGGCCATAGAGTTTAAGAGAAGAAATAGCTCTGTTCCTGTGCTAGCTCAGGAGTACGGCACTCCCTTATGGCCATCTGAATCTTACTCCAGTCCATAACCAGCCCTTCATTAAAACCTCCTATAGCTACCCTAATTTGGACACGCCATCTCATGGTACAATGAGACCCTAATTATATATCTGTGCATCTTTAAATCCTTAACTATTACTCCTTCAGTGGTTTATTTTAACTTGAAATCAACAGTACTATTAGCAAATTCATTTGCTTCCCCAAACACCATGCTCTTTTCAAGTCCCTAAAAGATAGTATCATCAACCCTTGCAGTCAAAAGCACAGTACTCCTTTTCCTAACTATGTCTCCCTCCACGATCTGCTACATCCAACCCCATTGGAGCTTATGCAATAGTGTTTTGTTTTGGTTTGGTTTGGTTTTGTGTGGTACCAGCGATTGAACTCAGAGCCTTCCACTTGCCAGGCAAGCGCTTATTCTACTGAGCTATCTCTCCAGCCCCTTGCAATAGTGTTTATATGCGCCCACCTGTTCCTACTGCTCCCACCTTGTCCTCAGGTTAGCACTCTACTCACATTACATAGACTGGTCCTCCTGCTCCACCCTCTCTGCTTTACCAGCTAAATCTACCGAGACAGATCCCACAACACTCTACTGAAACCTTCCACGTCTTCTGTGGAGGACCACCTGAGCAGCTCTCCTTGAAAGAAGAGTGACTGTCTCCATTTTGACTGAGCCTGACCCTATTTCCTATGTACAGAGCTGGCTAGGACTTATGTCTATCAACTGGCCTTAGGTAAATGTAGGCCACCCACCTAGCTCAGCTCACAATGATCACCTATTTCCCACAATTCTCAGTCAATCCTCCTCAAGCCACTCCCCCACTAAATAAAAACAGGGTGAGGCCCTGGGTCGCTCTCTTGGTTCCAGAAAGCCATCTTCGTGGCTGGACTTAGAGCCCCTTGACTCCCGATGATTGAAAATGTAATTTAGTGTCTTTGTTTTCGCCATGGGTTGCATTTTAAGTGGTAGATTGGAATCAACTTTATGGGATTCCAATAATTTAACTTTGGGATTATAAATATTGGCTTCTTGGACCGAGACGAGGTCCAGGAAGTGTCTCCAACATCTTCTTGCTTCTTTATGTGCTTACGAATACACACATACCATTATATTTACCTCTACAAAGCAATACACATATGCCATTTCTGTATTATATGTTTTAAAATCTAACATAAAACTGCATTTTTGAATCTCTGTAAAGAACCCTTTCTTTAAAGAAGCTTTCCTGCTGCTGCTCCACACATCTGTCTATAAGCAGGCCCAGACTGGTGATCTGCTGAGTCAAGATCACTTTCATATTCACTACTGTTCTTCAAAGGATCTTACTAATCAGAAAGTTACCATCGCAACAAACTTTTTAGAAAGCTTCAAAGAATATGCTTATTTTAGAAGTTTGACAACATCAATTTTTCCTATAAGAATTAATACAGTATTAGTATTACAATAAGCTCTGTAAAGGAAATGTAGACTTTCAAGGGTATAAAAAGCAAAATAGCCCAAAATTAATAACAAAACAAGAAATCCTTTTATACACTAAAGAATAAAGATGGCTACATGCAAATCATTATATGATTTGAGTACTCCTACTTGGATAGCATTGGTAATACTTTTCTAATATAGACATAGAAATAAAAGAAAACTTCAATGTGAACACACAGAACTAACGTAAGAGATCAACAAACGTAACTGATCATTCGTGCCAGGTATGATGGCACATGCACACTGGTAATCCCAGCAATCAAGAGGCTGAGGCAGGAGGTTCACTGTGAGCTCAAGGCCAACCTGGGCTACATAGTGAGACTCTGTCTCAAGCAAAACAAAAACAGATACTAACTGATACAGTCTAAATTATAATGTGGGAGCATTCCAGAAGTGCTTCCTAGATGTATACATGGAACTCTTAACTCTATACAGATCTCAGTTCCTCTTATTCACCAAATAAAAACTGTCATCTTGTAAGTATTCCTTTTACATTTCTTCCCAGTTTCCTCTCCCAAATCCAAATGTATGTGGAATTTAAGTTACAAATTACTGTCACAAGATAAGAAACTGCTCCTACTCACTGTGTAAAAAGAAGCATATATTAGAGGAAGTAAGCCATAAAAATGCTTATTCGGTCACATATGTTTGGTTTTTTGGAGGGTTTTTTTTGTGGAACCAGGGATTGAACTCAGGCTCTTGTGCTTCCAGGCAAGCACAAATTCTACTGAGCTGTCTCCCCGGCCCCATCGGTCACATATGATGCAGGTATCAGAAGAATGAAACCGTATTCGGAAATGAAAGAATGAAGAATGAAAGAATGAAACCTTACAAATGCAGGATTTTTATTTTTCTATATTATTTTTAATTTTTGTATTGGTATGCAGGGTCTACAGGGTCTCAATACTAGATCAGACTCTAATGATTCTCCTGTTTACAAACTCCCAAGTGCTAGGATTACAGGCTTGCGTCACCACGCCCAGTCTCAATTGGGTCTCAGTGTGCCCCACGGGATGGGGAGGGGCTGGCACAGCAAGGTCTGCACAGCAGTTCCCAGGGATCAAACCCCCGGCCCCTGAGCCTGTTTGCAGGCACTTTAATGCATTGTGCTATTCAGCCAGCCCTAAATGCAGGATTTTTGAAAATAAAAACAAAATGAACTCAGATTTGTGGATATAAAAATGACTCTATACTAATAATCCCTAGAAATTACACTGAAACTCTTGAGTTGAAATGGAATCAGATACATGAGAGAAACTTCAAGGGTACTTCATAGTATTTTAGAATACTGTATGTGACTTGCTAACATTTCCTTTTGTGTCAAAGAAAGGGTAAAAATCATTATTGGGCTGGGGATATACTCAGGGGCATAAGCATCTGCCTGGCAAAAGCAAGGTCCCAAGTTCGATCTCTGGTACCACAAAAAAAAAAAAAAAAAAATCATTAACAAGTATTCCTGCGCCACTTACGAAACCACATGCAAAGCACTTTATCCGGAGACCTCGGCCCCCCCTTCCAGCAGTCACTCATCTCTGCCTGCAAATGATGTCATCACTCAGAGTTCAAGCAAACTAAGACAACTGAACTCTATCACATTCACTTCCTTTGTAACATTGCTTTTACTTCAACTAAATTAATGAAACATCTACAGTTAATCATACAACTGACAACATCTGGTGCCCTGCTCCAGTATTTTATTAAACATTTATCTACTTAAGCAACTTTGGCATGTAGTATTCTTTTTTTTTTGGTGGCTGGCTCAACCCACCGTGGGGGCAGGAATGGCATGGCATGTGATGCCAGGGATCAAACTGCAGTCCATGCAGCTTACCTAAGCTTGCCCAAGGAGGTGCTTCAGATCTCTGAGCTATACTGCTGGCCCCCTTTTTTAAAGTGTTTTGTTTGTTTGTGGAACCAGGGATTGAACTCAGACCCTTATGCTTGCCAGGGAAGCGCTTATTCTACTAAGCCATCTTCCCGGCACCAGGTTTTGTTTGTTTCTGACAGAAGATCTGGCTATGTAATTCAGATTGGCCTCAAACTCACTATACAGGCCCAGCTGGCAACAGATTCTTGAAGATCTTCTCCCTCAGCCTCCCAAGTGCTAGGATTACAAGCATAAGCCACCACACCCAGCTTTTAAATTTTCTAATTTGATATCAAAATTCAGTTCTCCTTATCATTTGATCAAAACATCCAGGGGAAAATCAATCAATCAATCAATCAATCAA